AGCTACTGTGGCCACACCATGCCTTGTGAAAAAATGAAACTAGTACGGCTTGAATCCTCTATTCAACGACGTGCAGGTTATATTAAGTTTTGTTCGGAGAATTTTTTTATGGGAGTTTGAAAATTGCCGTACTTGACGAGATATAGGCCAACATGTAAGCGAACTTTGAAAGATTACTGTGGGTAAACCATGGCCTGTGAGAAAATGAAACTATTGCGACACGAATCTTCCATTTATAGCCTTTCCAACGATGTGTAGGTTCTATTAAGTTCAGGAGGATTCACGCTGTTCTAGTAATAATGAAACCAATTGTTTTATTACCTTTACATTAATTTTGTTCCATTCTCCAATTAAATTTTCTTTTTTTTTCGCACTCGCCCACCCAACTAATGCAATATGTTTTCAATTGCATTTAAATATGGTGAGGGAAATGTGATTGGTCGGCGACGTTGTAAAATAGCCACTTTTTCGCAAGAAGAGATGTACGTTTCGGATCGTTGTCCTTCTGGAAGTCCCATTTGACCGAAAGACCCACTTAAGGAAGTCTTGAAATTGTCTTTCAAAAGATTGAGATAAACGTGATGATCCATTTTGGTCAATAAAGACCAAATTTCCTGCTTCAGTCGTAGACCTGCGACGCTCCAAACCAGGGAGGACTCTCCGTCGCGCTTTAGAGTTAATAATAAGTTTCGAAATGTGTCACCAAGTACAATTAACTAAAATTGTTTTTTGTCGATAGTCTTCTTGAATTGTTGTGATATTTTTCGGGATTAAAGTATATTTCTTATTTACAATTTTATCTTATCCAAAAAAAAGTTTTAAATTATTGTTTAATATTAACTAGTTGTTGGTTCTGCGACGCTTATTGTCATGTGAAATGCGCAGATATTATAGACCGTGCTGCAGATGCGATCCTAGGTCCTTCGAAAGGATTACGTTGATCATGTAGAAAAAGGGACATTGCCGTTTATAAGCGTTTCACCGAGACAATGAATTAAGTAAAAAACACGTGACTAGACCAATACTTTGTTATTATGCCTCTGTTGTGTGGTATATTTAATGTAAATGCTATGTAAAATCAATTATAGCCGTTCAAATTCTTGCTGTTTGCCTTTAGGATTTGGTTTTGGGACCCCCTTGTCTCCCTGTCTCCTTATGAAAATAGAGTGCTTTTGTTCGCCTTATCATCTTCATCTTAACATCACGTGAGAAACCTAGATTATTCTTGTTGTGTTTCCTTCTTAATTAAGCTAGTAAATGGTATTATCGCCCACTTAGCGAGATAAACTTTAATCTACTCAATCTACTCTAGGAACTTTATCTTGATTAACTTTAGTCAATGTAAATATAATTAAGAAGTATTCAATCCATTGAGGGTTGGTTGCAACCTGATATCTATCACTATCTATCTCAATATCGCACTCTTTAAGGGCTATCAAATCTATGCTGTCGCATTATCGCTGTAAATCGTATTTAAACTAGCTTGCAATCTTAACACCTTATTATGATTCGAAAATTAGCTGGTTTTGTTTAATGTTATCGGTTGCTAAACTTTTGCATGTTTGCGATGGCTTAGCAGTTCACTCACAATTTCACCGGTTGTGGATGTGGATATGCTTTTTTCTTTCTTACTTATTTAGATATGAATTTTTTTTTTACGTCTCTTCATATGCTTTGTATTAGTTTGCAATAATAATTAGTGTAAAATTTACTTTGAATTCGGCTATTAATTTATTTAAGAGTTTCATGTGTAAACAAAGTTGCTTCTTAAGACATACATTTCTTAACCCTCAACCCATAAATGCGATTTTTAATAAGAGAAACCTTAATTTTTCGCACTGTATGTGTGGTGTCCATAATAATTAGTGTAAAAAGTCTTGGGAGCAGAAAAGAAAAACGCGATTAAGAAAAATTGTCTCATTTGTATTATATACCCATAACGAAGCTATAGTGTCATGCTGGATTTGTTTTTCCTTGGTCAGCATAAGATTCCAATTAGCTATAACTGGTTGAGAGGTAATCAGATAAAAAGCTTGAAAACTAAGAAGATTAATCATGATTTCAGGTCAACTTCGAAAGATGAAGAGTGCTTTTCATAAATATTAGCAATCCCTAACGAAACGAAAGCAAACATGCACGCATGCTACAACGGAAATCAGACGGCCCGTATCTTATTATTATCTGTAGTATTCATACCTTTAAAATACCCTGCAAATATCTGGTAAAATTTCAGTGTAAAAATATCGCCGGTCAATAAATTGGCGCTTTCGAAATTAGCAAATTATTTGGTTTGAGGTGGTGAGCATCAATATTTACTACAAGTCCAAAGAACAGAAATAAGACTCATAAACGAAATAAGTAAAGAATTTCGAAGAATTTATATTTTCTCTAAGATATGTATGTATAACTATGTATAAGGGGTTTGCAAAAATGCTGATCCCTTTTTCACTTGAAAGAGGTGAAAAATTGGTACAATATGCTTTAACCAAAACAGTTTTCATAATTTTCTACAACATTTTACCATATTTTTGGCAATATGGCGATATCATGTCGAAAGAACTTATGTTGGTTTAGCAGTTATCCCCCATCGACCCATTTTCGCTCTTGGCTAAAAAATAGCATTTTCAGTCAATTCTGATCGCCATTTACAAACCGTCGGAACCAAAACCGACAATTGAGATGTTTGATGGGCTTCAGCCCACCAACAAAAAAACAAACAACAACAAAAATTATAAATTTAAAAGAAGAAGAATATTTAGCCCTCGGCGTTGAATAAACTAATAATATTAAATGGAAAAGTATTATCTTGTATAGAGGAAGGTCAAAACTATCGAATTCAACCGTTATGCATCCCGGTATTCCGCATTTCTTTATCATTTTGCCAGCATATTTGCAAACACCTAATATCAATGGTAAACTTATTACAAACAGAAACAATTCGATCGGGATTTCGTTTTGAAGTACTCACCTTCGGTGTTCTTTCAAAAATCTAAATTAAAATTTTCTTAACTTTAAAAACTATCCACAGGTATTTCCTCAACGATTACATTAATGGATTGGCTTATTTGTGTTGAAAATGTACAACGCTAAGGGTTGTTATTATGTGTTTCGTGAAAAATTATTAATGGTAAAAAGAGTATGTTTAACCGTTTGAGTACCAAGCAGGGCGATCGCGCTGTTTAGGTTTTATGTCGAGAAAACACAGCACGTTTCGAGCATTGCGGACAACTGACGGTGCGTTACGTATTGTCGAAGTCGAGCGCTCAGACTTACTAACGCAAGTAGATCACACAGCTTCTTTTAATGTAAATAGTACATTTTACAATAGGTGAAATAGTACTATAATAATGTGCTTACAGATTTTCTTTTTCGATTCATTATACCTATTTAGGGGCGCATCAAATTAAGAAAAATTAAATAGTAAATCGAGATTAATTTTTCACTTACTTTGTGCGTTGCTTCGTCTAATCATTTTAAAACACACAATTATTAATAATGAAAAGAATTATTAAGAAGAATACGGAAGAACACGTCCGATCACTTCGCAAACTGCAATAAAAGTGATGGAGCAATGAAAAAATGGTATTTCACGACATAAAATTAAACAAGCGCTATTGCGCTGCTTGGGTATTTTCGTACATATATAAGGAAAGCGCGATCGCACTGTTTGGGATTCTTCGACAGTGTTTTTTCAAAACCGCCTGGGACTCAAACGGTTAAGTAAAACATTAAGGGCATTATAAGCAATAAACAGTCTTTAGTAGCCGCAGTTATCGTGAATCTCTTCACCTACGAATGAAAGGTAATACTAGTGCTTCTCGAAAGTGATAAATAGTACTTATATCGATGAATTTTTACAGGAAATCGCAAACAGTGCGGTGTAATATTGTAACATTGTGAATCACTGTAAATAAAATTAAAACATTTAATAGTTTTGCTTTTTATATATTATACATTTTTTAATTTATTTGGTTTGTTGACGTTGATAGGTTGTTATTTTAGTAAAACAGAAAAACCGTGTGGGCGTTGATAGATAAATGCAACGCTTGTTACTGTTATTCTTAATGCCCTTTAAATGAAATTAATAATTTAATAAAGAAGTTAAAAGATTTCATAAGAAGTTTATTATTCTTTACAAAGGTTTAAAGAAATTAAAATTCAAAGTGGGCTCTCTTTCATTTTATGTATGTGTCCTAAAAATTTGAACCACACATTAATGTTGAAGTGTGGTTCAAATTGTGAACTCTTGTTTCAAAGCAATTATGTCCTAGGGGATAATCTCCTCTACACTAAACGAAATGGCCTGAAACTCGCTAAAGAGCGCGATTTTTGACAGGAAAATTTTCACAGGCACATTATCAATACTAAGATGAGCAGAAATTTTAATTGTGTTGCTTTTTGACTACTATTATCTACCAGAGTATTTATCGCTGTTCACTGTGACCATACTCAGTGAAACTAAATGCACTAACCTTGTATCTACCGAAAGCGTTAAAAGGTATAGATATATAAAATACAGATACATATGTAGAAAACATAGGCTTCATATCCATCATGTGCCGAATTGAGCAAAGGGAGCTAAAAGTCTATTGTAAATTATTTAAAATGAAGTAAAATTACCCACGAAGCCAGTCCTAATGTTCGGTGAAAACAGAGGTACAAATGTTAGGGAAACCATGAACATATTTATCATATTTACTTTTTCGTGATGTGTGCTGTGATTTAATAAATTCCATAATCTGCAAGTATTAGTAGTGCTCGCGCACAAATTTTTTTCCTTTCTTCTATGTCAATAATAACGGAACAGGTCATTTTTTTTGCAACATTTGTTGTTATATTGCATTAAAAAGAATGAGTCGACCGTTGCGTGAAGTTTGTTTTGGCCTTATCTCTCCGTGAATTGGTCGAAAATCGATTATTTTCGCGTTTTCTTTTTTTCTTTATACATATATTTTTATACATTTATATATTTATTTATATATTTTTTACTTTTATTTCAGATTAGTTATCTTTGCAGCAATTTTTTAGCATACGTGCGCATTCAGTGTTAGAAACAAACGCCGAAAGCACTTGAACAGCAAACGGGAAGAATCTTCTTACACACATCAATTGAATAAGACAACAACAACAAAAAAAAAAAAACAATTCAATTGCGGTTTACTAAAACTACATGCGGATATTTTTTTATACATGTGTCAAGCATCAACAACAATAAACTCTCCTATTGATGCAACAATTATTACTGCTTAGTTCATTATTACAATTAAATAATTACACCAACAAAAATATCATTATTACGTAATTACGAGAAAAGTTTTAAAAAAAACAAACGCAACAAAGAGGAGGAGTGTTTCTGCTAAAAGAACTGAACTTGAGGATATACCAAGAAGAAAAATTCTTCCTTTTGCTTTTTTCCATTCAATGAATTGAAAACGCTCTTCACTTTTAACTGGATCTAGCAACTTATAATCTCCTGCGTGTGTATGTGCATGCATACATTTTGTATGCCTAATTGTTGTCTAGATTTGAGCGTTGAGCCTAAAGCTTTTCAATCGTTGATCCGTCAGGAAAGAAAATCTCTAACCTACCGTTCATCCACAAAATTGTTTTAAAATTAGTGTTTTAATTTTCATCGTCAACCTCATCATCACCGAAGACTCACTTTAAAGTTTATTTTGAAGTTATTTTCTGCCTACACTTTGCAAAATCCTTGACAATTTAAGTGATTATAAACATAACTAATTAAAAAAATACCAATACCTTAAGAACACTACCAACTTGAATTAGCTACGTTGTGCGAAACCTTTGGAAAAGAAAAAATAGACAAAAACTACAGCAAATAGAGGCAACAACAAATAGAAATGGAACGTGAATCAAACCCAATGCAACCGATGTGTCGCTCTGGTTGCGGTTTCTATGGCAATCCCGCCACAGATGGTCTGTGTTCGGTGTGCTATAAGGTTTGTTTTTAAAAATCGATTTTTCGCAAGACTTTTCTTCTTATTACGTATTTAATTCATTACACCAAAAAACATTTTAGGACTCTTTAAGAAAAAAGCAGCAACCACCTGTTAGCAGCACACCCGTATCAGTTCCAAGCCCACAACCGAGCCCCACGTTTAGTCCAGCCATTACAATACCTTCAGCAGCGCAGCCAACAGTACAGAGTTTACAACAGCAACACAGTGAAAGTAAAGAGGTATGTCATGTATGCCACATATAATATGTATAAGAAGGCTAGCACTGCAAATATTGCTGAAGCAATTGCTCCCCTATCTTTATCTCTATTGCTGTATATTCATTGAAATTTTCGTTTCATCTACAAGCTTATATACAACAGCTTACTTTTCTTCTTTTTTTTTATGAGAACTTCAATTCTTTGAATTTCTTGTCTTGTCACAGGAAAAATTGTTTCTTGTTCAGTTTTCGGAACAAACATTTTTCAAGTGTAGTTTTTGCCAAATTCTGAGTTTTTATTAATTTTGAAAAAAAAATTTTTTCAAATTGCATGGAAATCAGTATTAAGAAATAAAAGGTGAATAATTTTGAAATAGTTAACGAAAACCGATAAACTTCTTTATTCTAATTCCAATTTTCTAATCATTATAACAAAAGATCTCTTTATATTAATTCCAATAAATGAAAAATAAATAATAAAAACTATAAAAAAAATTTTGTAATATAAAAAATTCGGAAAAACGATAAAAAATTATCCAATATGTCTTCCAACGACATCACCGAAGACACTTCTGTAACTAAGATCATAAAAGCTGATACTAGCGGTCAAGAAAAACCTAATAAACTTAATAAAACATCGTCCCATAACGGAGCAAAATATATGAGAGACAGGCCTATTGTCAAACGCAATAACATTGTTAACGATGATATTGTGGGGATTAGTCAAGATCTCACAAGCGAACGTTTGAAATCAACAATTATCTCTCAGTCGCAACCTTTACTTAATTCTGACGTTGAAACAGGAGGAAGCCTAAACAGTAACAGTGACAACGGTGCTGGTAATAGTCACAACAATAACCATATAGCACGGGATCAAAGAGGTGTCCCAGTAAGAAGAACACGTACCGAATCAGCCGTTAATAGGGCAAGTACGCAGTATCCAATTATGTTTCCTTATGACATATTTACCCACAGTCCTTCATCCAACACAAGTTACTGTAACATGTTAAAATTTGTAAAGAATTTATGCATTTTCAATATACCATTTTTCTGTTTTGCGATTTTCACAAGAAACCACTAGACCGAAGTCACCGACAAAAGTAAGTGAAAAGCTTCTGTCATCACATGGAAGAAAAGAAGCTGCGCTGGCAAATACAATTAATCAAAATAACATTAAATTGCGTAATCAAGGTGGTGGTAGTGGCGGTGGCAATCAGCAGCTAAATGGCCTATCGGTTCGTAGTAGCGGTGCAAAACGTGAAAATAATAGCATCAATAAGGTAAACTGCATACACAAATTAAGCTCTTTACTGAAATCGTTATTAAAAATAAGACCTACCAAAGCCTCACCAGATTTAGCGGCCAATATTAATAAACATCGTACAGCAGTGAATAAGAAGACCAATAATAACAAGAATAGCAATAATAAGAGTACCAGCGATAACAACATTAGTAAAAAGCAAAATCTTAAAAAAAATAGAAACCGAAATTTGAACAATCTAAACATAAACATAAAGATCTTGCATAACAACCAAGCAAAATCGCCTTTATCAGTACAAAGAGGAACGATTGATTGTAATTATAAACCGATACGGTCCAAGCCAGCTGGTAAACTCTTCGACAGAAGTAGTGCTGGCAGGGTATCGCCTCGGATAACGTTCAGAGATACATTACCAAAAAAGTCAGTGGATGGCATCTTATCCAGTGACCCTGTAAAGTCTGCGGTAACAACTGATCGTGCCACCTCCACACCTGCTACTAAATCAAAAATACTTAGAAGGCCTTTATACACTGATAATATATCTCATAGACATTTAACAACTCTATTTGCTACCAAAACCCCTCCAAATATTGAAAATTTACATATTAAATCAATTGCTCCCATTCCAATAACCAAATCGTTGAGATCCTTCTATAAATTTAAAGTGTCTCAGAAACCTTCTACAAGTAGTACGAAAACGTTTACGGTGTCTTTCGACGAGTCGTTTTTGTTAAAACAAGATAAGGAAAACATAAATTCAGCATTTTTATAAAACATGGACAAAGCGGAACCGAGCAGAAATAAAGATGATGGTGAACGCAATAAAAAGCAGTCGAAAAGTTCGAACAATGGTGAAGACAAAGCTAACACTTCGGAAACTAATCCTTACTCGTTAAACAAAGACAAACACAACGAGAACCAATCTAAGAATTCGGATGATGATGGCAATGCTACCGATACTTCTGGACCAACTTCTTCAAAAAAGCGTAGAAAGCGGGTAAATTCAGATTACACAACACATTGCCTTGGTTTCCGTGTTAGAAAATGAGATTAATATTGGTTGAAATTTGTGTAGTTTCCTAACCGGTAAAATAACGACGGCATCCATTCACAATAACAGCGATAACAATATTCGTCCGACTAAACGTCAATTGATGCTGCCTTAAAGTGCAACGCACAAAGATGGATACGAATCTAAAATAAATTTCATTTGTTCTAAATCTATCTGTGGCTGATAATAGTCATTACAGGGATCATTTGCTCTTTTGTCTTAAAGATAGTTCCCGTAATGGGAGGTCTGATTTGCAGATAGTTTTTTGAAGAACTGGGAAGAGCTGCTCAAATGAATCCTTGTCTAATAAAGCAAATAGAAATTATGTAATTAACTTGGCACTCTGTTGCTTTTTTGCTACTATAGTCTTACATTAGAAATACATATTTACAGATCCATACTACATTGTTGTTGAGATAATACAATAATCGGTCAAAAGTAGTACCGTGAATATTGCTTTTATGTAGGTTGCCAATATACAAATATTTCTATTTATGTCATACTCTTCGTCCCGTTTTATCAAGTACGTTACGTGTTTTTCGATCCAACTGGACATGTATTTGTTAAAGTTACATTAAGTTTTTTTTCGGAGATAATGAATTCTGTTTGGAGAATCTGACTTTTTTTTGATTTATACGGTGAAATCGAAATAAGTCTCAGTTTAAGACAAAGTGCAAAGGCGGAGAGGAGCAATGGCTTAAAATATTGCTTGCATATTTTTTCTACGACAAATGTTTTAAAGAAACGCATTAAAATTTTGGTTTTCTTTAAACAAGAAAATAACTGAAGAAAACACAGCCAAAACTAGCAGCGAAACAGCCGCAACCGTAGGTCCATCAGCTACTTCCACGGAACCAGCCGAGGATGATAAAGACAAGGAAGAGGATAAAGATGCTAAAAAGAAAAAGAACCGTTGCGCTGAATGTCGTAAAAAAGTCGGCTTAACAGGTAAAATTTTTTTAACAGTACATACATATATATACATAATATATATATTTATTTTTGCATTAAACTCGCATATTTCTTCAGGTTTTCTCTGCAGATGCGGTGGTCTATATTGCGCTGTACATCGGTACAGTGATAAGCACAATTGTACATTCGACTACCGGGAACATGGAGCTCAAGAGATTAGACGCAATAATCCAGTAGTAGTTGGCGAAAAAATACAAAAAATTTGAACTTTTGTGCCATCATTTAAAATAATAATTAAATTAACAACAATAACTTTATAATATATAAACATAATATAAATATAAACTTATAAATATTAAACAGAATATATACAAAAATAATAGAAATATATAATAATATAATATTAAACAAAAAAAAATTACATAAAAAACTAATTTATATAATTAATTAAAGAAAGAAGACAGTAAATGTATAATAGGAACACAAAACGCTCTACAATTTATAATAAAATCGCAAGCGTTAAAAAATTTATATGTATATCAAAACCGATCAGAACCAAAAATTTTCAAATTTTGTATATATATATATAAATATTTATATATATATATATATATAAATAAAATATAATAAAAGTATCTGGAATAATTTTGCAATACAATCAACCAACACCACCATTTATAACTTTCAAGCACTGGATATCAGTTCTATTTAAGAACTGAGTACTGAATTTTAGTTTCAACAGTTTTTTTGTTAACAACTGAATTTTATCCATTCTACTTGTCTAGATAAATTTATTTTATAGCTAATGGTCAACTTTGGGCGCAGTTTATCTCCTTTTTTTTATCAATATACATATATATAATTCAAGCAAAATATGAACATGAGAGAAATTCGTTCGCGACAAATTAAACAACTGGGCACATATTTCGCTTATAGTGATAATATAAAATTAATTCTTTTTTTAAAATCTAAATTCATTAGTTAATCGAATAATAAAAATAAATGCGAAGGGAAATTGTTGGAAAATTATCTAAATATGTAAATACGTGAAAGCTTGGTTTACGTATGAAGAAACAATACTGTCATCTCAAAAACGCCCATCAAACACTTGTCAAAAATTAATTTCACAGCTATTACTGAAATCTGCAAATGACATTAAGAAATCTTACGAAATTCTATATGGGACTACATACAATATGAACGAATGGGTGTTGTTTCACACTTCGCGAAATGTTTTTATAAATGGAATTCGACATTGTTTTTTAATTTGAGAGTACGTGTATATGAATATTAAGCTAAGTAATTCTATGTAAAGACAAAGCAAAAATTTAATATATAAAAGTTGAATGGTTTTCTAAAACTCAGCTAAATACTATTTGTATTACGTTTAAAACTGGGGAGAAGTTCATTAAAAATGGAGTTTTTTGGTAATCCAAGACTAAGTGTTTCTTCCTTATTTTTCGCGGAATTTTTTATGCTTTAAAGTGGTCTTCTTTAGCTTGTTTTTGTTCTCATTTAAAATATATTGTTAAAAAAGAAAAATAGTAAATGTAAAGAAAATAATTTGCTTATATAACTAATGGCTTTAAGCTTATGTTTATTTGGTGTTTTTATTATAATTTTCCATTTCTCTGCCTATATAAATTGCTTTTCAAGTATATATATATTTCTATAATTTGAGTTAAGTTTTTCAATCCGATGTTTTTTAGGATAATTTTTTTTTTTTAATTCTTTTTTGTTAATTCTTCTAGACACATAACAATTCGCATATTAAGGCGTACATATATCTAACCGATAATAATGTGAAATTTGACAAAAGCCTGGGTTTGATTTTTATAAAATTTTTTTATTAATCAAAAACCAATTCTTTTTCTAGTTATAATTAAAAAAATATATAGTAAATAGTTTTTCTGAAAGGTTTTAATTGTTTATTTTTCTTTTGAAATATTAAAAATATATGTATTATTGTTTAAAAAAACGATGGAAAACAAACAAAATAAAATAAAAAGAAAACTTTAGTTAAAAACACGTAAAAAACAAGAAAAAAAAATTGTTTAATTTTCAATCTTCACCTCTTTTAAACTATTTGAATTTATTTCTCGAATTAGTTCTCAGGGCTTTTAAGAGTTTTTTTAAATTTATTTCACTGCGATCAAAGAAACTAGCTGCTACCCGAGTTTTGAATAAGAGGATGTAGATTGAAATGTAAGAAAATGATAATTCAAAATTTCTCTAATTTATAGGCAATTTGTAACTTGTTTGTTTAGATTGCACCCAAAAGAAAAATACTAAAAAGCTTAAAATTATTGTTTTTTTTATTGTTTTTCGGTATTGCAGAGCTTTGATAGTGAATTTCTTGAAGGAGCAAGAAAAGTTTAAATTTTCCCGAAAAAATATCCCTTAGCGCGTTGACGTAAAGAGCTGCTGCACACGTCCTTGTACATGCACGACGTCTATAGGGGTCAAAAACAAAGAAAAAAGAAATGTGTTTTCGGTAGCACTCACTGATTTTAAAATGAGAGTCATCGTGTTAATAGACTCAACTGACTATAAAATACTTATTTGACTGAAAGAAATAAGTTTTACATAACTGAAAATGTAGATTGTATGCAGAGAAGTAGATATTCTGTGTTCGCCTTGGGGCGAAGCTTTGTTACCCACTCCCCAATCAAAACGTCGTTAGCCAATCGAAACTAGCTTTGCTTTAATGTTTTATACGACGATGGTAAAAATTCGTAGTAATTTTCAGATTATAAATTCTTTCCAATGGCAAGGCTCATCTAAATCGTCAGCTAAAAATATACGCTGCAAGTTGGAAACTTTTATTTCTGTTCTTGCTGCTGATATACCAAATGTGTTAGAAAATTTTAATAAACATATCATTAGGTGGTGGGTATAAAAATCAAATAATGAAAAGTGTTGTGCATATAATTTAGCAATATAAAAGTAATTTAAAAAAGTAAATACATATTGTGCAATGGAATCGATTCGAAAAAATATAGTTTAACAACGTCAAATGAATTTTTACTTTTTATTAAGTTAATTAGTAGATGTTACATATGGCAAAATATAAACTTTTTCGTTAATATGTACTAAGTAATATTAATCAAAGTTCTGAAATTATTTTTCTAGTATAAATTATATCTTTCAAACTAATTAATTAATCATTAATATTAATTGTAATGAAAAAAATGTTTACTGAGTCTTAGTATCTATAGTTATTTCTATATTTTTAAGGAAAAAAAATTTTTGTACTAACCATTTAACAACGGACGCAAATACAAATTTTATTTTTCCGTTTTCCAAGCATCGCAAATGCAACAAATTGGCCTCACTATTCTTGGTTCTATTTCATAAATCAAGTTTGGCAACTGTGGTACGTATTTTATAGACAACCCGTGAGGAAGTTCTTAAATTTCAAACATATTTTGTAAATAACTGTATTGATATACATAAAATTTGTCGCAAATCTTTATTACAGTTATGTAGGAGTTTTTTAGTTAAGAATGGTTTCACATTGATTGATTGGTCTTATGCGCCTACATTTATCAATAATCTTAACAATTTTAAAAAAACTATGTGGATTTATATAGAAGGGTCACATTGTAGGGCAAATATAGTCTCATTTTACTTATTTTCTGTTCAAAATTTAATTTCGAATTTATATAAGGATACGTCTAAAACAAAAAAAAAAACAGTAAAGGGGAAGTACCGGCAGCGTACAAGAAATCCAAAAATAATTCCAGATATCCAAGTACACAAAAAATAAAAATCTTAATCTGAAACTATTGTATAGACTGTATTTAATAAGCAAATATATATACACACATATATATTTATATATATGTAAAATAATATATATATAATTTAAAAAATTGAAATTTATTATGTAAGAACCAATGTAACGTTCTAACACTATGTAAATACGCCCAAATAAAATTAATATATATACAATAATGTAAAAAGGGAGAAAAAAGGAAACAAATATAAAAAGAATAAAGAACTGCAAGCTGAAAATGAATAGTAGCAATGTCGCACTAAAAGTGAAAGTAAAGTCCTTCACAATAATTAAGGATTTCAGAGTTTACTCTATGTTCTTTATTAGCAATGGAGAGCATTTAATTACAGGTTCAGTGTCCATGCTTTTTCTTTTCAATTTAAGAGGCTTCAGTAAGACAATTTACCTTTATTTATTTAGTTTAATAAACAAGGCAGAATTATCGGTTATTTTTATTCTGTCCGGGGTGTGTACATCAGTACAAATACCTATCCTTCAATGAGTGCTTAGATGTATTCACCTTTACGTATGACATACATTACTTGAATAGGCAAAAATCCAAAAATTCGAAACTCCAACGATTTCTACCCGCGCCTTTCTACACCTATAATTTCTAAAGTTAAAGTCGTTTGGTCCTCCTCTTTGAAAACTTTAAAGCTTTGCCAGAGTGTTCTAACAAGTGTTAAACAAAGAGTCTTTATTTGAGAGCATAGAAGAATTACAAATTCGTAATAATCAACTTATTCTAGAAGAATAGTTGGTAGGAACGATCTGATTTACTCAAATGGAAAACGCGGAATACATGTGAGCTTTTCAATGTATGTTTTATTTTCCAGAAGGTAAATATTTTATTTATGTATGAACATTTGTATGGATGGTAATTTTTTCTACTTCAAACGAAAGCTCATTGACCGCGTCGGATAACGCAAGTTGTTGTATATACATCAGACCACTAGTTATATAGACATACATACTGATGATTTTATGGATGTTGCCTCTTGCAGACGATATCACTTGTCGTCAGATTTGAACGTGATAATAATTGAAATAACACAAGCGATTTTTGTGGGTATTAGTAACACGTAGATGCGACATTTGGGGTAACTGTAGACTTTAACACGTAACTGACTGAGGCTTTCAATCATAAACTTGGAATATGCTATGTAGCTTAAGTTATTCTCCTCTCTTAGTTTTAAGGAACCGTATAAGTCGCACGAAATTCATTTGTGCTTGATAACTAAACTTTCTGCATTGTTTTCATTTCCCTGTTAACTGATTGCATAATTTTCTGATTCTATGCCTACCAACTCGAAATCAGCTACTTTATTAAACCCAATGTGTTATTCTGGATCAACAGCTGTATTTAAATAGAGAGTTGTGAAGTAGTATGGTGATTTTTAAAATAGATTAGGTTAAAAGAGTGGGGGAATATTTTCAAAATGCGGTTGCTTTGAATGTAAAAGGTGACTTTGAGGTGGCTAAAAGCCTCCTGAACACATGCATCACATACTCATCCAATAGTGGCATCGAAGGTTTTCGCTTTAAAAAGGCATATCGAAAAAACTCAAGCAGCTGCCGCAGCTTTAGCAATTTTTATAGGCGTGGCATTCGATTTTACCCTATTTTCAAAAAAAATGATAATTCTTTCCATATATAACTTATACAAGTGCTTGAAATGTAATATATAATCTTTTTTATATAAATGTATCAAAAATATGCATTCATCTCCCCTTGTACGTCTCCTCAATAGTTTTATACAATTTTTATAGGCATGGCATTCGATTTTACCCTATTTTCAAAAAAAAAAGATAATTCTTTCCATATATAAGTTTTATTTAAAGGTTTTAAAAACTTATTCTTCTAATTTTTAACCCTTATTTTCTTTTTTAATTTTTTATTCGCAATGTTTCACTTCGTACCACTTCTTTCTGCACTTGCAAAGTGGCTTCGATTTTCCGCTAAAGGCCATTAGCTGGTTTTTTCCTATACATGGTTTATAAAAAAAAGGACAATGTGTTGATAATAGAGAAAGCACAATCTCTGGTGAATTAAAAATTCCTTTTTATCTTTTTCCATTTTTGGTAATTATTCATAGCGTATCTTTTTTTGGTGGGTAAAATGATGAATAATTCATTCATATGGAATATTCATTAATAATAGGGAATATGTAATACACATAGCACACAATTAAAAAATAGTTTGAAAATTCGCGGCAATTTTGTAAAGTGTATCCATAAGTGAGGAGTTTTAGTTGTCTGGAGGAAAGTGAAAATGCTGCCGTAGTGCATTACAAAATAAGCAGAAACGTTTAAATTTACAAAAAAATAATGGTATTAAACAATTGCAATTAACTATGTGGTAGTAAACAATTGCAAATCACATTTTTTGTGACATTATTTATTCTTTCTCTTTTCTTCTTCTTCATCCTCTTCTCTATTGTCGGATTCACAAGTTTCATCCACTTATTTTTTATGACATTATTTACTCTTCTTCTTCCTCCTCCTCTTCTTCTTCATCATCTTCTCTGTCGTTAGACTCATGAGTTTCATCCTCGTAATCACTTAAGTGCTCGCCCAATTCATTGATAGCCAGTTCTCTTTTTAACTTACTTAGCCGATAAGCTTCTTCCATTTCCACAGAAGGATCTTCGGTTTCGACAAAACTTTCTGGGCCATGAGGATACTCGAAAGCTTCGGGGGGCAAGTGAAGCCAAGGCATATTACGCGACACGGATTTATGGCCCCAACCCATATAAATAGATTCACATATATCCTGATGGATGAATGTGTAGGCGCCAGGCCAAATATTTGACTGCATTACAAGCATGCGCTCCTTTTCATTAGTATAGTTGCTGGTGAAACGACGAACCCAAGGCACGGGAACTTCTGTGTTATTATCGAACGAGCAAGCCGAAAGGATGTTGGGACCGATTTCTCTATTAGTACCTTCTATGTATCCTTCCTCTTCACCTTCCTCCTCTTCTTCCTCCTCCTCCTCCTCTTCCCCTTCTTCTTCACCCATCTCTTCCATAAGGCGTAATTTTTCCAAACGTTTGCGCTCTTTCTCCCTTTCCCGGCGAGCCTTCTCCTCATCAAACCATATAACGCGGCCTTGTTCCAAAATATTGGGACGTATATGTAGCCATTTATCGACAGAATTGAGAGACTTTACCGGCAATATTTCATACTTTTCGTTTTTCAGTAGGACGACGTCATTATCTAGAAGTTTGAAGCATATTTTATACTTTGTTAGATTGAAAGCTGTGGTTTATTTTTACCTGGTTCTCCCTCTTCCTCTCCTTCACCCACTATTTCTTCGTCTTCTTCCTCTTCTTCTTCTCCTTCATCTTCATCCATTCCATCGAATAGGCGGCGTTCTTTTTTTGTCATTTTCCGATAGTAACCACGGGGTGCAACGTAAGTTCCTGCTGTAATACGAGATACCATGGCTCTTAAATAGTGCTTTTCTTTGCCTCGAAAGCAAGGATATGACACGATATCGGCTTCCAAGTTTCCCGTGAAGAATTTTTTCAATTGTCTTGATAATTTAATTTGCCTCGGCGTAACTATCGGTAACTCTATCCATTCGTCCGAAAGTGAATTCACCACAAAGTATACGTAGCGGTTCACACCTAAATCAACGTAATAATGATAATATTAATGTAGAAATTCAATTTAAAGAGGAAAGGGTTGCTATATTAGTAGAACGGTATAAGATTTAAATACTTTTATTAACAATCTTCGTCTACCTATTGGTTCATATGAAATATTTGCTAAACTAAACAGCCCTGAAAAACAAAACCCATGAGCAATTGTTAAAGTATAAGATCCACAAATTCCTATATAAGCAATAGCTATTAAACCTGATAATAGAATTCCTACATGAGCTATAGAAAAGTAATCAATTAATGCTTTTAAATCAGTTTGTCGTAAACAAATCAAACTTACTAATACTCCTCCAACTAAACTAATAGAAATCCAAATAAAATTATACTTTATCACACCTAAACCGATTGGTTCTGGAGGAATGTCAAAAACATCAATAGTTTCTGGGGTTGGAATCTCGGCTGCTTCAGGCTTCATTCCCATTAATTCTTCGTCGGGCCAATTTTCCCATCCGACTGCTCCTGGTATTAATTCAGCACCCAAAGTTTTAGGTAATAATGTTTCCTTTGCTAATGGTGTTTCTTGTTTTTTAAAACGTTCAATCATTTCTCTCTCCATTTGCGCCAGACGGGAATCAATCTCTTCATTTGTTAGATAAGCTTCAACTACGTAATAAGGAGCCTTCAGCCCGTTAATAATACCCCAAAAGCGACATTGCAAAATCGATGGGTGAGTTTGCAGACGAGTCATAGAACATGCTAATTGAAAAATATCGTCGCTGCTGATACTGAAACCGCATTGATTCCAGAAAAAATGCATATGTTGCACGCGTTCTATGATAGGTGGATATATGGACACTGGTCTTAAATCTATGTCCAGTTTGAGTTCTTCAGCTTGTTCCGCTCGTTCCTCTTCCATTTCATCAGCTATGGGTGGACTCGAATCATCCTGATATGGGAGCTTCATCGAAATCAGCTGCTTTTTAGCGATGCGATACATACGACTTTCTTCAAAAACGGCATTAGGCGGAAAACGTTCTGGTAAATGAAATTTTTGTTCCCGCACGCTACGACTAAATTCTTCAAAAAAGTCTATAACGTTAGGGGGACGTTCATCAATAATGCGTTTTATGATATCTGAGAGATGATCGTATCTGTAGTTTAAGAAATGTTAGCTCATTATTTTGAGAAGTAAAAGGCATTGAACCTTACAAGTTATCACCGCTAATTGAACTGAATTGCTGCATTATGGATTTGGCTAGGCACATTTCGTAGCTTATATCTGGAGGTTCAAGCAATGATACTTTCGGGTCGCGACAAGCCGCATTAAGCACAGCGCTTTCTAAAGTCGACGAGCTTGTTGTGCTAGAAGTAATCAAAACGTCGATGCAAGACGCATCCCCACCTGTTTTTGGCTGGAGCGCTTGTTTACTAACGGATCCAGCCACAGCTTTGTCCGGATCACAAGAATAATAAAATTTTATTTTTTCGCTACTTGTACTAGCGGATGGAAACCCATCGCAAGAGAGTTTAGCATTTAAGTCCATTTCGGATTTAAAATTGTTCTTTTTTATAAATTTTTTCTAATGATTTAAATTTTTTTTGGCTTTTTTGTTTATGGTTTATTTAGATTAGATTTATATATTTTAAGAAACAAAAAAGAAACCTCTTTTTTAATTACAAAATATATTTTGTAAAAATGATCGGGTTAATTGACGTGTAAAATAGATTGTCAAATTGTTTGCCATGTTGGAAGGAGCTATTACGGTCACCTGTTTTACTTTTTGACTAATTTCAACTTGCCTTGGTAATGTGAAATTTACGCGTCAAAGCTCAAATTTATTTTGCTTATTCAAGTGACAGAGAAAGTTATTTACAACATTTACTTCAGATATTCAATATCACCGTCTAACAGTAACTATTGAGGTGTTGGTGAGTAGGTGTACCGCTACACAAAGGCAGCATTAAAATATTTGTCGACTTATTTGCATGTGTAGGCAGTGTACTACTTCTTGATACACATTCTTCTTTATTAAACATGAGTAAAAAACAAAAGGAAGTAACATTTCTAGGAAAATGATTTTTCAAACTTCGAATATATTGGTTTTACCACGGGCTATCGCTTAATTGAAAGAAAGATTTGCTCGAAAGTAACTCGTTTTAAAGATAAAACGGAGAAAATTTATAAGTACTGATTTTTGGACTTTGATTTATAAGAAACAAGTGGACAATTTAAGGGCCAACAATCAAAGCATTCAGATTTTTAACTCGTATTTCAACAGGTCTTAAACAATAAAGTGCAATTGTGATTACTAAATTTTATAAATAAAGATGATCACAAACTTACCGTTATCCTATTGAAGAATCACATTCTGCTGAAGTGACAGTGGAGGCGTGGGAGCTATGCTTGTTTTTTAGTCTAAAATGAAATGAAAAGAAATGAATAAATTATACATATAAAAAGTAAAGATAAATGCAAACTTACCTTTGGAATATTAGCGAATCTTCTTGGAATTGTGAGGCGATGACCGGAGAATTGTACTTATTTTTTTCCTATCTAGAATAGGAGAAATATATAAATAATATATAAATATATTTTTATATAATAATATTATTAACTTTACTCTACTGCATTTCACGCACGATTTCGTTCCCAAACTTTAATTAAGTGGCGAATATTCATTCCTTATGATTAGGCGCTGTTTGGCCGTGTATGCTTGTTTCTCAATCGATATACCTTTACTATATGGTGGTCCGTGTCCTGCGTCTTTTGTAAACTAAAGTGGAATAAAAACAAATGAATAGATGATAGGTATTGAAATATATCTTTACATTTTAATATATTTACCTTAGAATGACGTTACGCTGAAGTCCAGGGTCTCTCTCCAATTTCTTCCTTTCAGCATGTTTCCAAGTAAATCTATTCGGTGGATACTGCCGCTACTGCAGGATCCTGACGCCCTGAAGAAGGCAAGCCGTGCCACCCACGCGCCTGCCGATGTCTCCTTCCACCATATGTTACTTGACAGATGCGTAGAATATATCGTACGCATGCTGGAACGCATCGTGGGCCTCTGGAGTTGGAAAGGCTGGTTTCAGATATTTGTCTCTGCGATACTTGGCGACTACTCGACCGCTCACCTTTTAGCAGGCATCTTCTTCTCTTTGGGTTAGGTCCTTTATACACGCTTGATATCGTAGCCGCTCACGGATGTATCGAACGATCCCGTATCCTGTGAGCAGCCGCAGGAAAAACAAAAGAAAAACTATTACGTTATATAAAACAGCAAATGAAGATTAATTTGTTCGCAATAAGTTTTTAAGTGAATAATAGTTGCCATAAAACTATGTGCACACAACATAATGTAATGGAGCACAATAAGCTTCCAAACACTTTTTTACAGTTACTTAAATATTTCGCCCTCCTTACAACTAATAACTGGGATTTTAGCAAGACGGAATGCTCTGACGTGGAGTGAGTTTTATGGGAATTTCTAAACCAACTGTTAAATGAAAAATTGGAAGTGGGCACAGAAAATAGTCCTCAAAAAATGTAGATCTATAACAAATGTCAATAATAAAATTGGCTCCAACCTCGTTCTATTGCATACTTCTGTTTGTGTGGCGTAAGACTGTGTGTTACTTAGTTTAGGAAATATTATCAATATGTTCTTTATGTAAGCGAGAAGTGCGCTTAGGAAATGCGTAAGTTTTGGTCAAATGGTCCGCTTGCCAATCGACTCTTCTAGTTCAGAGAAATGGCTGCAAGTTAGCAAAAGTTTAGCACACAGGTTCTCTCTGACGGGATTTTAAAATGCTTAAAAGCTCCTAAACCGGTAAATTCTTTTATGTATTCAAATTAATAATGATAGAGGTTTGTTATTTGACTGAGCTGTACATGGTTTTGTATCTACTGTCGTCCGGATTCATAGTTATAATATTATTAAAACACTTATTCGATAAAAATTGTCAAAAAGATACGTTTTAATGGATTTTTATTGGAAAATCCTCACGGAATTTCCTATGTTCGAAAATCTGGCATAAGACAATCAATTTTCAATTTTACATCTATTTGTTAATTTTAATTGAAGTCCTCAAAGCATGGAGTGCTACATGCTAAACACATGAAAATTTTAAATATTAAGCTGTAACCAGTTAGTTGGATTAACGACAGTGATTTGTTCGGCTTGATCAGGAGTTAAGCCTTTCGCGAACATACGGGGTAATACGTTCATATGGACATGATGATAACCATGACCGCCAAAGGAAGTCTATTATAGAAAGAAAATATGCAATTTTTCTAAAGCTGTTGTTATAAGTCAATATGAAGACGAACCAGACGATGTTTTGTGTGTACATCATGCGACATGAGTAGTCGTTCAAGCAAACCCTCATCAATCAGTTTCATAAAATAGTTTATGCGATGGCCATCAGACGGCATGTCTAGAGCGGAGTTTAATTGGTAGTAAGAGCATTCCGTGCCAAATAAATCATATTGAATATAACAACCGAATTTAGCAAATTCTAATAACTGATCGAAATTGAAAATGGTACCTAAAAAGAAAATAATTAGTATATAGCGAAAATAAGCCAAAGTGAAAACATACGATCCAAATGAGACATAACGCATTTACTAGCTTTACCGCCAGCTTCTAAATATAACCGTATTATTTCGAAAGGCGCCGCAGCATTGCGACCTGGATGAAACGAGACACCACAGCCGAGCAGCTCTTGAATTTCAGCGGTTGCTTTAATAGCACGTTTCTCAAAATCTTTAAACAACATTAACAAGTTCTCCTACAGCTTTTTTAAATATTTCACGTTTAACTCACCACGTATAGGATATACGCTGCCTACTTCCCCAATAAAACCGCATTTTACCATGCCAATCCCATCAACTTCGACGCCAGTTGTTATCTCTTTCGAATATAGATCAGCCATTTGTTCAACAGACATATTCATGTGACCACTATTTTGTAACTCGTATATGTAATGACCTGTCCCAGCGATAACATTCACGCCTGTCTTCTCAGATACTTCAACCATGAATTTCAGATTTCGCTTCAGACCGTGCGATGTATTTTCTACAATCGAGCTACCGCCTAGTCTTCTATACAATTCCAGATCTTTAATAACAGCTGCGCGAGTTGCATCATCGTTTAAACATAAATTATCTAACGATGAGTACGGGTACTGCCGTATAAATCCCAAATTCGCTAAATGTAATTTTTCATCTAAGAAGGATCGAAAATCGTCCGGTGGCGAACAGTAAAAATGTGCAAAATCCAAAGCTACATGTTCATGAGTAAGAGTTCTTCCCAGTAAATTAGGTTCAATTCTATCTAAAACTGAATAAAAAGAAAAATAATTAAAAGTCATCAAAAATTAACAATAAATTTACAAAAACATGACAATTTGAAGTCCGAATTTTGTGAATCGTAGACAGAAGAATCGAAGATAGGAAGATGGAGTTTGGCACAAACGGGATCGAAGTTTATAGATGAAATTAAAATACCAAAATAACAACGCGGCTAACATCAAATTACTAAAATTTCAGATTTTTGATAATTGTAAGCAATTGAGCAAATTAATCGTAACCGCACGTGGGTTCGAATCCCAAGTGCGGTAGAGTTTTTAATAAAAAGCCGATAGCCTTAGATGCTAGTGCTTTTAAGAGTTTAGTCTTAGAATTTATTTCTCTGGCGAAATTAACAATAATAATAATAATAATAATAAATCGTAAGTTGCTCCGCTGTTCAACCATATAACAGATGAGATCAAAAGTAGATGAAGCCGATTGCTTTGTAACAATATATAGAAGAACGTATAAGTTGGATTGCAATAGAAGTAACTTCGAAAAGAAATAGAATCCAAAGAAGATAATGTTTTCGAGCCTAGCAAACGCTTCGATGGTATGTTACAAATTATTATTGGAGCAAAGTTAATGCACTTTGCATGACCAGTAAATCAGAATTTAATCATCTTCATAATTGCAAATTGCTTCTTACGCTTACAGAGTATTTTAAAGATTGGCGCTAATATCATACACTTTTATAGAAAAGCAGGTTTTCAGTTAATATTTAAATAATCCATAGCTGTCGGGCGTACAACACAATGTCCATATTTGTATTTTATGCCCTTATCGTTTTTGTATAACATATACTATGTAATTATATTCGTATTATCTTTTGCTTCTCGTCCATAAAAGATAATTAAAAATAAAATTTGTTGCTTTATTTTCAGCTCCATTTTATAATAATTTCTTGTTTCAGTTTATTTTGTTACGGGGAAATTGGTTGGAAATTTCTGAATTAGGATAAGTTTTTGGAAATGTAGCGTTTTGACTGGTAACTCTAGACATCTTTCTTTCTATTCGCAACACATGGTATTTTTAACAGAGATTACAAAGATATAGAAGATCACTCTGATTTTCAATATCGTCCTGGAACTAAGGTCATTCGTGTTGCCAATTTTATTGATGAAGACGCCAAGTATACGGCTGGTCAAATTATTGATAATTCTATTGATGGACTCGCTAAAGTTTGGTGGGATGACGGCCATATTAGTATGCTATAGTGCTGGCCTCAAGACTGTTTCACTGTGGGCCAATACGACAATGCCGCCGAAGTTTGGACTTAAGACTCGGACGATTTGTGGGACATGGGAACGGAAAATAATGGATATTGTAGCGGTGGTAGCAATGACACACAAATTTACTTAGCTGAGTCGCAAATTTTAACGAACATTGAAAAAGCGCGCGTGGCGATAAGTTATTTAGAATAAATTTTTAACTTAAATCCCAGTTTACAAAATCCTGAGGTATGTAAATTTCAGTTAATCAGCTATGCCGCACTGCGTCCAGAGCATAATATACCATCCACAGATTTATATCCTACACATCATTTGGATATTATGTCCATATGTGTTAGATATGTACGGTAAATTGAAAATATTATAAAATTTTTATAAAATAAATTCTTCGTAATGTTGGCGCAGTGATAACTCAGACATATAATCACAATATCTACACAATTTATCTTACTTTACCTGTTTGAATGACTGGCATAATTTGATAAAATGCTTTAATAATGTTTGTTTGAAATACACAACTAAACGTGCGATGACAAAAATAAAACTGAATTAGACTGTGCGAGTGGTTAACAGATACTAAACATTCAATTTCTTATGAAAAGACTACATGCGTATATATTTTAAACAATTAGTGGTTACTTGACAAACCTCCAACTCGCGTCCACATAAATTATATAGAATGCGGTGCTATAAAACCATAGAGAGGTTAAGAAGATTTTGGAAATTTTATAACTTTAAGTATTATATTTTGGAACTTAAAGTTCCGATTGCTAATTAATTTTTGGGCACAAATTATTATAGAAAAGCGGTGAATGGTTGAAAATATTATATGATATAAAAAATTGTCATTTCCAAGGAATAACTTCAAAAATAAAATAAGGGTAATAACAGACAAAATCCTCTCCAGAAATTTTATCAAAAACAAGTTGTTAAAATACATAGTTGCACATAGCATAAGTATTTAATAAGTTGGGAAATGTGATGTTATGGGAAGTCGTACATTCGGATGCGGCTGTCTGGTAGTGCGAACAGAAAATTATTAACAGCATTAGCAAAACGTTCCATGAAGAAAACGACAATTCAATCAGAGTACAGAGATACTTTTAAATTGCTTTTATTTTATAATAACAAACGCAGAATATGATCGATTCGACGCAAAGCTTCGTAAGGCAAGTCCCCTAGTAGGATAGTAGCAAATGTGATGTAGGCATGGCCAAGAAACTGCGAGCAACAGATTGCAAAGGGACACCATAAAGCATATAGATTAGGTTCAAGTAAAATGAAGACTGATCTTTTGCGATGTAGTGCGATTGATCTTTTGCCACGTTAGCTCATTCATTGCACATTTTATACCCTTCCACCTACCTTTTTTTTGGCTTCCAATTTTAACTGTAAGTTAATTATCAACATGAATAAATAACCAAGTTTCATATCAAATTACGTACGTAAATGTACTATTTAATTGAAAACATTACTTCAATGTGGTCTAATTCCTAAGAAATCAACTGAAAGAAATGAAATTGGAATAATATTTTTTTAATCATTTATATACAAGATTCTAAGAGAATAATTATCAGTCTCTTGTTACCGGCGGCAACAAGAGGGCTACGGATATATATCCGTTAAAATAAATGTAACCTATGTAAATTTTTCTTTTTGCAAATAGAATATTTTTTAGCCCCTTTATCTCACTCAGCTGTATTTTCATATTTATTCTATACAGTATATTTATAATACCAAAAGGCCGATATGAAAGAATGCATTTAATTAAAAGCGTGCGTTTGAATATGACGTTTGCATTTCGTCGAGGCATGTATTAAAATTGCAAATTAATACTTTCTGTGTCTTCTTTACTTTACTTGTAAAATCACTTCTCCCAGTTACATTAACTTGAAACTCGACAAAAATATTTGTTAGGGCCGGCTTAAAAGGCCCTAAGGAATTAAGGAAATGTCATTTAATATCAAATATAAACTGTGCTAAAAAAATACATATTCAAACAGACACATATAGTGCGTTCTTTAAACGTTTTCATTAGGAATGAATATCGTACATAATTTTTTGCATTATAAACGAATATTTTTCTTGCTTCTTCATTATGAATGAATATATTTTTTTAATTTCACATTCAAACTTTTATTGAAATGTACTTACATGGACTTAAAGTTTGAGTTCACTTTGTATTATTAAATTAAGAATTTGATCAAAATCATTTTTCCAAATATTATGATGATGAAGCCATCTCTATTACCGCTCATACATCACTTGCCGTTTCAAAACAGCGATGTATTGATAAAAAAAAGAACGGTCATGCAGTTAATATTTCAAGCGCGATATGATTTTAAAGTTGTCATTTGCACTCTTATAAAAAAAAAAAAGAAAATAGTAAATTAATGTATATTGGTATGTGGATTCGAAATATTACTTTCCGAGGAAATTTTTCGCTTCAATCATTTTGCACTTTAATAACGCTTATCTAAACAAAATCTAACCATACGGCCAATTCTTTAACCTAGTTGATTTTACTTCAGCGAACCAGCGAGCAGCGTAAAGTAGTCAAAATAACTGTACAAAGCATAGATAACAAATTTTTACTTCAAATCGGAAGAAGTTCAATTCGCAGGAAAGCTGCCGGACTCCGGTGATTTAGCAAAGGGACTATACTTGCATTTTTTTTCTGAATTGTAAATGGCAAAGTCACAAGGAAAGTTTCGTATGTTCAGCACATTCAGCTTTGTAATTATTTCTATACGGAATGTTAATTTTGTAATAAAATTTATGCATAATTTTATGGTAAAAATCGAACAATGTGCTACAAGCTGCAAGGCAAGTTGTAGCAGTTATAGCACAGACATCCAACCGTATGTAACGTGTATACATAAGGAAAGGGGAAAATTGAAATGACCATATCCGCACTTACACCTACTCTATCTTGCAGTTGAACTAAAACTAACTTACAGGGATGCAATGCGCTTAGAAGTGCAGCCTCGAAAAAATCTTTAACAATTGTTTCGCGTATTTTATCATATATTTAGCACAAAAATACAACCTTAACACCATAGTATCCGCCCAAGTGGGCGAGTAGGCAAGAGTCTCGACCAGCAGCTCAGTGGTCGTGGGTTCAAATCTCAAGTGCGGTAGAGTTTTTAAAAAAGCCGAAAGCCTTTAGATACTAGTGCTTTAAGTCTTTAGTCTTAGGATTCATTTTCTGGCTAAATTAATAATAATAATAATAACACCGTAATGGTAATGCGTAAAATCAAAGATGCCTGCAAAAATACCAGTTAGTTTTCGTCCAGGAAACAAAGGAAGTCATAAAGAAGAAAAAAAAATGTTCTTTGAAATCGTATGTAGCTGAGAAGGCAAACAAATGCAAGAAAATATTAAAAGTTATATACATCATAAATTGTTTTTATATCGTTACATTAATATTGATTAATTAATGTAGTTGCATTAAAGTAATTTTATTGTAGCAACATTCAAAAAAAAAGACAATAAAATTTGAATATTCTTAAGTTTCCAAGAGCTCAGTGTGTTTGTGCTTAAAAATATTTTTCTGTATTTCTAAGAAAACGTTCGTCCTCTTCTCAAGTGGAAGTATACTCGCCAATAGTATACAGAAGCGAAAATTCAATCTGTGGAAGCGCCCTCACTCAACATTATCAACTCTCACTATATTTTTCTCCCTCATTTACTCTCTGCTGTTTTTAGTTAGTATTATTATTGAGTGTAAATTTTGTAAACAATGTCAATTGAGAGAGAGAAAGCATTGGAACCATTGGTTGTAACAGAAACAACTAAATGAGAAATGCCCAACATTTTCTTCAAATTTAAAGTAATAAATTCATACTCATCACTCTGAGAGAAGAGGATTGGCAATAAGTGCAAAACACAATGCTTGCGTTAGGCGTGGCTTACGAACTGTCAAAATAAAATTGATCATATGTATCTAAATGTTACTGAATGCACCTTGCGTTGCGCTGTGCGCTAACGCGAATTTTTGGAGAACAAAACGAATTCATATGGTTTTACATGCTGCGAAAAACAAGCAGAAGGAAGAAACATTAAATGAAATTAAAAATTAAACTAGACTAAAAATATTACAAAAGAGGAAGTAAAGGAAAGATCATGTTTTTATTACATTTATTATTCAGTGATTTTAAATTGGATTTTATGAAGGTCAAATATTTGACAACTCATTTAAACATTCACTTTAAATTAGTCGACGTTAACATAATACGTATAGTGTAAACAGCTTTTTGTGTTTCCGGCAAGGACGACAGCGCTCCCACATTATACCTATTATCATAACTCAAATAATCAAATCGTCGTTATCCATTTCCTTTTGTCGTTCAAATGTTTCATTATAAACCTGTTAAAAATTGCTAATTAATTATAAATATTTTATCATTAACAATACTGTGAACTTGCCATTAATAAGTGAAATCGTTTTTTGTTTACAAAAATATATTCTATCATTTTTTTTTTGTGTTTTTGCTTCAAGAAAATTATATTTCAAAGCAATTTTCCGGTCTACCAACTATGTGCCCCTTCATAAGCGTTTACGTAGGCGAGCGCTAATCAATATTTTCACATCGCACGCAAGCTGTATGTTCAATTGATTTGGCGTTATATGTTTCGCGTTACTAAGCCCAACGCATAACGCAGTTATCGGATTTTTACTTTAGTGTAGTGTATTTTGGCATTGTTTTGTTAAAATTTTGTTTTCTCGTGTCTGTAAAGGAGAGAAAAAAGTAGAAAGAAACATGAATATAAATCTAAATATTTGTTAGATTTCGTTTTAGTTGCTTTTCGTTTCTAAAAATCGCCTTTAAAAATCGCTTCTAAAGCGGGCAAGTCGCGCCACGTTTATTTTAGCGTGCAAAGTATTTTTATGGTCCAAAACGAAATATTAAGAGTAAAAATTAAAAAAAAATTGTGTATTGTAATATTCTGTGGTTATGTGCTGATATACGCTTCGTGAAATGTACAAATAAATATAATTGCAATTCGGAAAAAATTTGCAAAAAAAAAAACGGAGAAACTGAAGCAAGTCGTAAGACTTGCCTGTAAAATAAGGGGTGATGTACCGCCAGAGAAAAGCCACAAAATTGGCGTTCATGCGAATATTATTTTTTTTGTGCAAATTTATTGCGATTCATTTTACAGTTTAACACCCGAACCCTGTTAAGGAAATACATGTAGACTGTGTGTGCATGTCAGAAAAAGTATATTACAAAATATAGTATAGTCGGATATATGTATATATATGTCCGAAAGTAAGGAAAAATATGTCTTTACACGGATCTTTTATTTGATTGCCAATCAGAATTATTTTTCGTTCAATAATTTTCTTCTCCCTACGTTCTTTTAACGTCCATAATCGTTTATCTGAGTGCAGCAGTTTTGGGGATTCCATATCGATTTTCTATTTTTTAAATACGTATTTGTAGATGTAAACCGCAATCAAAAAAAAAGTTTCATACTAAATCGATTCCAATTATTTTATTTTCTCTTTTGTGGTTGTGTCTGTTTTAAAAATACACTCATCGATGCTGCTATTTCTTCTTAAAGATACAACAATAAACCCGTTTTATGATCAATTCTTTTAAATTTAACTTATTTCTCTCGATGTCTCTTCTCGTTTCTTGTACACCTATGCCTCTATATAGGTTTTAAGTAGCTTACGCGCAATTTTTCTTTTCACAGCCGTTCTCTTTTTGTTGCCTCGATCGCTAATGTTGATTATGTTTTGCCTATATATGTTTGTGCTCTTTTTTTATTTATAGTAAATATATGAGAAAAAAATCAAGTTTATTTCTACGGTAGTCCGAACAAGAATAACAGAAGAAAAAAAACAAAAGATAAAAACCCATAAATCAAGAAAATACAAAATAAACAAAGGAACGGATGGTTTAAAGTTCAAATAAAGCTAAGGCAACAAGTAGCTATCTGTTTGTTTGTTTGTCAAGGTATGGTGCTAGTAGGTGTCTGAAATAGCTCCTTTTATATATATGAATAACTTTTGAAAATTTCTCTTTAGCAATGGATTAGAAAGTAAATAGCTGGACATATAAGCCACAAATCTGTTGGCTTAGTCCATCTCCATTCAACATACCAAAAAAAAAAGAAGAAAGTAAATAGTTGATATCATTATCCAAAAACACTGAAGAACTTTCTTGAATGCACCAGAACACTTAAAATGTTATAGGTTTTCATGTTCAACATAAGTAATACAACATAATCCAACATACAAGTAATACAAAGTGAAGGCACTAAAACATTTATGTAATTAACTAAGTGCTAATTTTCAACGAACTCCTTTATATGATGAATTACAAACTGAATACGCGGCAACTTCAAACGAAGATGGATATAATTTCAAATTATCAAAATCAGACGTGAATAAATGAGAAAAGAGAATACGTACTTTAAGTAGACGAAAAGGAATTTTATTTAAATGCTCTGCTCATAAATTTTGTTTTATTAAATATTTTCGAGAATAGTGTTAGTTTATATTTAAGAAAATTTTACATATGTTGCAGTACAATTTATGAAACACTAGAAAAAACATACTCAAGATTGTCTAAAAAGGCGCGAGCCGGACGACGTATAGAAAAATGTGTTCTCGGTAGTTGCCCACAAATTTCCGTAACCATAATGTCCGCAGCCTGCTTGCAAAAAAGAAAAAAGTGTACTGAAGAAAGTAAGTGGCATCGTCTTTAAAGAATGGCAAATAGAAGTATTTCAAAACAATTTTGAAATTTAAGAAGACAAATTGGCTGAAAGTTCGTTGGCAAATACTCTTTTAAAAATTTGTAGCAACTTGATCTGCAAAATACGAGTTAAATAAAAATTTTCAGGCTTACAAGAAAGTTGAACGAACAAAAAGAGACACTTGAACTTTGATGGCCTGTGTAAGAACGCTTTATAAATGTGTTACAATAATATTTGAAATATAAAGAAAAAGCTTATAAATAAATCTGCTGATGTACAATGAGATATAGTATGAGAAGAAAAATAATTTTTTCGTAACAAAGTTGTCTTTATTATTATAATTTACTTATTATTAATCTCACAGTGTTGTAACGCGAGTGTTTCTTCTCTCCTCTTTTCCAACTTGTCCATTTAATTTCTATAGAAATTGCCGGCAATTAATTTTACTTTCTTAAAAACTTTTTTGTGTTGTTTTCTATTGTAAGTATTGTTTAAAAGAAAATTTCTTTGCCTTTCTGTGCATGCGCAAGTGAACGGAAGTTTTTATAGCAAACAACTCGAGATAAAGCAAAACAAGGATAACCAAATCTTGCCATAGCAGAAAAACGTAGGACTCATATACGTATAAAATCACTTCATGTGGCCAATAAGAATAAAAGCAAACGGTACTGTGGTACGTAATAGCTGATCGTCCGTAATGACAACATAATGGCTCTTAAGAGTCGTCGATGAATAAGGCGAACTTAACCATTTTGATTTCTGAAACGCTTCCAAGAACTTAGAATCGTGCACAATAACTAACAACAAAAAAATCCTTTAGCAACAATGGGCTTTTCAACAGCTCTACAGGGTCGTGCTGCCCATGAAGCTTTAGTTGTACGGCAGGATGCTGAATTGCGTCTAATGGAAGTTATGAAGCGTGCTTTACAGTTGAGGGTAAAATGTGACAAGGAGTACGCAATCAACTTAGCAAGTGTGGCACAACAGGGTTTAAAAATTGATCGGGCTGATGAAATGCAAGGTAAGTTTTGTTTATATTTTGTTTTTAACAATCTAAATATCAATATTGTTTCAGTATGCTGTAATTCTCACTTGCCCATTTTGGTTATTTTTATTCTGGCTTTCTTTTTAATTGCCATTATATATTATAATTTCCTTTTGTACATATTGAACATCTCGGAATTACCCATATGCACAAACAAGTGCGTTCATATTAACCCACTTACGTGGATGTAAACAATTATTATGTGTACAACCACAATGAGTTTTTGCAATTAATTAAAATTTATTAAAACTAGATATAAATGAATTGAGCTTAAAGTTTGGTTTTTTTTTTCTGAATTGGGTAGTCTGATGAGCTTTGATGAGTGTTAAGTTTTAGCTTAAATCATGGCGTAATCGTTTTTTATGTTTCCTTTCTCTTTGTTTTTCTTTTCGAATATCCTTACGATTGCGATCCTTAGCAGAAACTATGAGAGTCAACAGAAACTGTGATGCTTTCAACAGAAACTATTAGACTTTTAAGGGAAACCTTAAACGCAAAGGTTTAATGCGTTGATGTTTGGCGAGAAAAAGAAAAATTTGTGCAAATAAATTGGAAAATTCTCGATTAGTTTCCATTTATTCAATGGTACTCACTGGAGTAATACGAATTGAATATTGCATGATAGTTTGTGTACCTAAAGCATGACGTCAATTCATAAAGCTTCTCTTTATTTTCGCCAATCATGTGGGGGATAGTTTAAATTTGTACTACACATTGTAACATGCAAAGCGAAAATGCGGTTACAACAAAGTTAATAATTCTGGGAAATGCTTTCGCCTATCGAAAAATTTCGGTTAACTTTGGGAATCGTTTCCGTCGCAGAAATTTACGCGTCAAGATGATATTTTGTATGCATTATTCAGAACTGAAGTCAAAAGTTTACATCAGAGGTGACTTGTCGCAAAAAGCTAAAAAAACGTTCACATTCGGTCTTACAGTGAATATACATCTAAAAATTGGTGACAAAGTTTATTTTTTGCAAGCCTTTATATATTGGGACTAAAACTTTGTTTCTCACTTCATTTTACTGAAGTATCGTAATCGTTTTATTGCGTTTTACACTTAAATTATGAAATTAAACACCTGCTCAAATTTTTAATTGTATCTAAAGATCGACATTTGTTCGAACATTTTGCTTGATATTATCGGTAATATTTTAGAATGCTTTTCATTATATTACGTTGTCCAGTCTTGTTTATAATTAAACACGTTCAAAAATTTTCTTAAGTGTAGCTACTTGCAAAAATGTTTAATAATTGTTTTAAAAATGTTTTGTTTAATAATACAATTTTTTGCCAGACTTAAAATAATTAGGTGAACGTTTTAAAGGGAAAATTAAAAATATACAAAATAATAAGCAAAATTAAATTTCAATAACGATTCCTGTTGTGCAAGAGCGTACTTGTGTCGGTGCAAGTAAGCGTGAAAGAGTAGCATAATCGTCAACAAAAAAATGTTGCTGGACTGAACTGTAACGGTTTTAAAGTTCAACTTTCAACGTTTAGACAAGTGGATGGTGATACTAGTATATGAATGTGTACAATTAATTAGAATGGCGTTCAACGCTAGCATTTTTCGGATCTTCATATAATTGAAAAGCAGCCGAAGAATTATTAACTTTCATAAAAAATGACGGCGCTTTAATGACTGAAATTGTCAGTAGGAATAATTTAGCATTTCATGAAATAAAGAAAAAGTTGAACTACAGATGAGCAGCAGTTGAAATTTCGAAGAGTGCGCATATTTATCGTAAGACCTCAAAATTATTTTTCAATTTTTTCCCATTCTTAAATCACGATGGATAGAATGGATAAATAATTCTACGCGTCATATTTATTCTCTTTTATTTTAGTATACTTAGTTCTTTGCTTGCTTGATGTTATTGACAGTAACTTTGGATTATTTTCTCTGTAATGCCAAAAGGAAAAAATAATGTAAGAAATAGTTTCTGCACTTACTTATCCAGCGCAAGTACAGGCAGTGTTAGATTAATATATGTACTTTATTAATGAAAACATTTATATTTAGCAAAAACTAAAAGAAAAACGTTTTCAAATTGCATAACAAAAATATTCGATTTTTTCGACATATTCCGAATTTTAATTATTGTGAGCACAATTTCATACTTGATGTACGAAAATTAGACACGGAGCATTCCGTTCGAACAATATAGCAACGCGAGGGGGCCAACATCCGTCGGTGACGACTGTAATATATTTAGCTTTCTCCCTTATTTTGTATAAGCATTTTAATCACAGTTTTGACACATTTTACTTGACTTTGAGCAATCTAATAAAAGAAAGCAAGAGCCATAAAATAAGTGAAAGTATAAGCTTGAAATTAAGCATGCGTGTTTTCAAATTTAAATAATGGATATGTGTATATTTATTTATTGATTAGTGATCGCGCGTAGTGGATATATATTATATGCTTTTTTCAACACTATTAGGCAGCAAATCTTCTCAAGCATTATATGCCGCAGAGCAGTTTTGTTAGTCGCTTAATGAGCCTACGCATATAATTGTAAATCAGGCTGTTATTTAACGAATGTTTCTATAGAAAATAAATCAAAATTACATAGATATATTTTTTGCGTACCTTCGCACATAAGCGATTCCACATCAATCTTATTGAAACTCTTACAACGATCATAGCTCTCATTTTGCGTTTCTGTTGTTTTCTACTGCAGGCAGTCTCATTACAAAATCATGGCGCTCCTATATGGATGAACTGGATCATCAATCCAAACAATTTAAAACAAATGCTGAATTACTCGAAGTGGTGTGCGAAAAATTGACGCATCTGTCGCAAGATAAACGTAAAGCACGTAAAACATACCAAGAAGAACATACAAAAATTGCGGCTAGATTAAATCATGTAAGTAATCGAAATAGGTACAGAGATAGTATTTTCCTTATAAGCCATGTAATTTCTAATAACAAAGACTGGCTTCTCAAATAAAAATCACAGATTTTTAATATTAGCCATTAATATTTCGTCAAAGGAAATCCCCTACTATTTTAATTTTTTGAATGCCATGCGAAGCCTTTTAAATGCTCAATGGTATATAAGGTATGTTATTGCAATATTTCTTATGCAAGATGTAGCGTGTAACGTGTGGAAGTAGGTTTTGTGCGGCTTTCATTGTGGTAAGCATTCTTGCCAGCAGGCCTGTGGGCCCCTAGCTCCTATAATTTTATGTTCAACATGCAGGTCGCAATTTTCGAAATATTTTGAGGGAACTTGGGGCACTGCTCTCTTTTCGTCCAAGACTGAATGCTATTAAAACAACAAAAAATCGTTGTAGAGTTGCGAGAGAAGATTTTTTGAATTTGGACGAAATGGGATTTTGTTTTAAATGTCGATATGGATGCCAAATGAAAATTCTTGGGAATTAATTATATAAAAAATTCTTTTATCTAAATGAAATAAAAGGCGGACAAAACTTCACTGTCGTATAATAACCGTACGCAAAAGTTTGGGGCGTTTAGAAAAAATGGTATTTCGTACGCATTAAAATTGTAAACGTCCCAGGCCTTTATGTATACTCACAAAATATGGCACCCAGCTTTTAATCCATTTATTAAATTAAAGCTTATTCAGAATTATTTCATTCAATTTATTACTGCAATTAACCTATTACAAATATATTTTTTTCCATTAACTGTTGTAAATATATAATAAAGAATTTCAAACTGTTTAATAGAAGAAAATAATTTTTCTCTATATTTATATATATATATATCTAGAATAAATAAATTGTATGAGGAGGGAATTTCATTTAATTACGTCTATTTGTTCGTTTGTCAGAACTGCAAATGCGATCTCAAAAAAATTGGTTCTTTTTCATTGGTATTTCTGTACTTCCAAATATTACTCTTCAGGTATCTGTTGTTAAGCATATGCCATAGGTGTCTTATGGTGCAAGTGTACACCTGTAAGAACATCGCACTATGCCGCATTATGTAACATTGCGTTTTGAAAAAGTGTTTATCATAAATAAGCGAACACAAATCTTATGGAGTGTATCGCAAGATCCTCTCTTAATTGTAAATAAATTTTTTAACTTTTTTAACTTTTTTATAAACTTGTGTACTTCCCTCTTTTATTGCCTGGCTTCAAGCCATAATCATTGAAATGATGATGGTTGATGCAATTTCACTATTATATCACAATTTATACAATAATTTGTGTGAATTCATGTCAGGCCTAAATCTGGAAAAAGCTTTTCTTTCTTTAATATTTTAATCTTTATCAATTTATCGCTATTGTAATACAATGTTGTGAGCAGCGACTGCAGCAGAAGTATGAAAATAATCCCATGATCACATCATGTGTGGCCTTTGTAAAATAAGCAAACGCTTCTTTCAATTCTATTAAAAGTAGTCTGCACTTGCACCACGTATAAATACCTATAGTGGGTTTTTAGCTGTATATGTACGTACAAATAATTATTCTCTATGCATGTGTGTTTATTTATGCGCGTCTTTTCAAACATTAATATAAATTTTTCTTTAACGCGATGGCTAGAAATGTTTATGTTTTTATTTACTCAGTACTCTTTTGTGAACATTTAAAATTGTCGTTTTCTCGTAAGGGGAGAATGAGAATTTTTTTCCTTTTATGTTCAACAAATTAATTTGCGAAGCAAAGAAATTTCATAATATTAATCATTTGCAATTTTCAATTTCGAGCACGATTTCTAATGCATAATAACTTCTATAGTTATATTTAATATTATATGATAATATTTTATAATAATATATTTACTTGTAAAAATGTGCGCTTTCCGCTTCTTTGTATCTTATGATAAATTTTTATGTCTCTCTTCATGTATTACGGAAATTGCGTCTACTTTTTTCATTACGTCAATAGAGAGTTTTGTAAAAGTTATCTCGTAAGTTTTTTCTGTATCTACACGTAAACAATAACAAATTAATTTTCTGAGTTATTACTTTGCTTGATCAAGATATAACGTTATTGTACATATCTAGCTAAAAAAACAAGCAAGCAACATATTAGGTAAAAGAAAAACTTCGTGGTGTTTCCGCATTTATAGTGACGTAACTTTGATAACACTAGTTTTATCAAGCCATACTATAGTGCGTATGACAGGTGGCATTCCATAAATAATTTAAAAAAAAAATGTTAGTTAATTCAGACATTAGATTAGACAATCGAAGGTAATATCGATTTGAAAGTGTGCTAAAATTTTGAAAAAACGCTCCACATTTCATAACAACGCTAAGACTGAGACGATAACACTCTGCAAAATGCATAAAGAAGTATGCTTTTTACAGTGAAAATTTTGTGTCAAGCTCAGCAGTTCACGAATACTAAAGACAAGTCGCGGTGTTGCCAGTCAAGTGTCGATAAAGTCCATGAAATTTCTCAAAAGACAGAGGAAGACATTCATATTTCACCTTATGAAATCGTTACAGAATTAAAAATTGGCCAAAATAGGTGTTTGGCGATTGATTCAAAGTAAAGAGTGTGAAGATAAATTCGAATTTAACTAGTAAAGACACCTACCATTTCTGTTAATATACCTCTGTTAACGACTTAACAGAGCTTATATTAAATAATTACAATTGAGATATAGTTGGTTTGAAAGCCTAGTCCGTCCGTATTAAAAAAAAGAAAATATTTTTGTGGACATTTCATATATCCATATAAAACTACCTTTCAAACAAACTAAACAAATTCAAATTGTGTATTTGAAATTTGGTATGTTAGCGAAAAATGCACATGGAAAAAAAAAGTGTGAAAGAAAAGTGTGAAAGTGTGAAGCGGACGGACTAGGCTTCCAAACCAACTATATCTCAATTGTAGTTATTTAAGATAAGCTCTGCTAAGTCGTTAACAGAGGTGTGTTAACAGAAATGGTAGGTGTCTTTACTAGTTAAATTCGAAATTATCTTCACACCCTTAGATTTTGCATGTTTGAAATTTTACATTTTCAAATCCGCCAATTCAGCTCATGCCATATATCTTCAATTGCATTCAAATACCGGGATTGTGGAGGAGTATGTAAATGTTTGTGGGCTTTGTAAAGTAGTCACCAAGTGTAGTAGTAGTGCAACGAGAGATGTACGTTTCGAATGATTTCCTTGCTAAAGGATTCTTTTACCCGAAAGGCCCATTTTTGCTGTGCAGGTTTTAAAATTGTCCTTGTCAATAAATACCAGGTTTCCGAATGTTTTAAAGTTACGACTCGTTACTAAAAATTTCATTTTTTTCAAAATTTATATGATATAATTTTTGTGGAGCTTTCAAACTCGAGACATTTTATCATATTAACTTTGCTTACAAATGGTTTCCTTCTTGAAATACGGCTATGGAAATCGACGGGTCTTAAAACATTACAAACAGTTTCAGGATGAATGCTAACTGACTTATATTTTTCCAGCTCTTTTGCAGTGTCGATAGCACTGGTTTTGGGTGTCATTTCTTTGGTCGGCCTGATTGATGCGTATTTTCTGTCATTGTAATTTTTTATAATAGTTTGAATAGTAGCACAATTTTTACGCTACTTCTAAACTTTACAATACTTTTCTATATTTTTGAGAAATTCCTTTCCGTTTTTGTATATTTTGTGACATTTTAAGTAAAAGAAATAAAGAAACTCGCTTTAACTGATAAATTATTATTTACATGGACGAACAAAAACTAATTACCCTTAACTAAAGATGTTTTTTTTCGATACTTGTGTAATGTGTTTTTGCTGTATCTACAGTTTTTTGTGATATTTATTGGGATTGATGTATATATATATATTTCTTTTCTATAACTTTATCTAAAGTCAAAAAAATTACAAGTTTTTGCTTTTTAAAACATATAGCTTTGCGCCCAACCCATAAATGGAGATTTTAATAATTGAAACCTTAATTTTTCGTACTGTATGGAGACCTTATTGGCTACCGTGTATAAAACGAACATTTTTATGGCTTCTGCAATAAAGAATCAGAGGTGTTTAGATTAGCTATTTTAAGAAAGTGTATTAAGGGAAATCATTATAAAACAATTTATGCACATATAACCGCAAAGCATATAAGAAAATTAAATAAATGGATTGCAAGTTATATGAAGCACTTTCAATAATATTCCTTTTTGCTCCTATAAAGGTTTTTGCAATGAATTTTCATAATAACGAAAATTTTTCTGCATTTTTAAACTATATTTATATCTTGTTAGCGAATCGTTGCACTCTATTCTTCTTATTTCTCTCGATGGACATTGAATAATAATGTATATTTCAGTAAGAAAACTCTAAAATATTTTTTCGAACAGAATCATAATAAAAGCATAGCTCGCATACCACGGTTAATCCCTACAACGCTTTATAGAAATGGTGTTGTGTGGGGCCTTTTTCTTTATTTATTGAAAAGAGATATGACATGGAATAACATAATTTGAATGAATATATAAAACTCAACATTAAGTTGGAATACAAAAGTTAATTAAAAAAATTAATTTTTCTGAAAAATTACAGCTCATCTATTTTTTGTCATAATTGGTTGAAACTTGTGTTGTTGACGATAAAATAAAAATACAAGCATATTTTTTAAAGTCCGGGTTGTACAAAAACTGTATGCTAAATTGACAAAAATTCCACTATTTATATACTTTTCCTGAAAGTTGTCATAATATCCCCAGATTTTTTATTGTTTTATATCGAAACCGTGCTTGGTAATTACCTTGTTAGGTATGTAATAGGGTTACAAACTTTAAATATTTGGTGAAATAAGTCTTCATGGAAACTATCTAGTCCTGTAGCTCTTAAGATGTTGGGAAGATATTAATATTGCAAAATGATAATTTTGTGATGCAAACTTAATCCGAGAAATTTTAAGGAAAGCCTGGAATACCGGATATTT